TTCCATCAACTTTCTGCCGCACGCACTCCTCAACAAAACAGAGTAGCCGAAAGAAGAAACAAAACCTTGAAGGAAGCTGCACGAACCATGATAGCACACTCAGGACTGCCAAAACTCTTTTGGGCCGAAGCCATCAATACTGCATGCTACACCCAAAATCGAACTCTCATCAACAAAGCTCATGATCTAACTCCATATGAGTTATGGAAAGGTAAGAAACCTGTTGTTAGTTACTTTCACATCTTTGGATGCAGGTGCTTCATTCACAACAACGAAAAGAATTACTTGAAAGCTTATGATGAAAGAGCCGATGAAGGTTTGTTCATGGGATATTCCTTAGTCAGCAAAGCATTCAGGGTTCTAAACAAAAGAACTATGGTGATTGAGGAATCTATCCATGTTAAATTCGATGAAAGTCCTGAAAGGACCCCACAAGATAATGTATCACTCGATGTAAGAAATCTGAGCATGCAAACTGAACCTAGTCAAGTCGGTGAAGAAGATTCAGATCATGAAGATCTTTTCCCATCATATTAGAGATGTCAATCCAAATCTATAAAACGTGAAACACGAGTTCAGATTGAAACAACTAGCGAGGAAGCTCCACCTGCACCACAAGTTCAACCCGAACCTATGATTTATGTTGAACTACCCTACATTCCAGAAATGAATGCACAAAATCAACCAACATCTTTCGAGCCAGATCTAAGATGGTTGAGAGATCACCTGCCTGACCAAGTAATTGGCAATGTTCAAGAAGGAGTGAGAACTCGTGCCTCCATGCACGAAAGCATGATGGCATGTTTCCTATCACAAATAGAGCCAAAAACCATTGGAGATGCCTTAAGAGATCCAGATTGGGTCACAACCATGCAAGAAGAACTTCATCAGTTTGAACGAAACAACATTTGGGAACTTGTTCCCAGACCAACTCATCAGAATGTAATTGGAACCAAGTGGGTTTTCATAAACAAAATGAGTGAGGATGGAGTAATTGTCAGGAACAAGGCTCGGGTTGTAGCCAAAGGATATTGCCAAGAAGAAGGCATAGATTTTGATGAAACATTTGCTCCTGTTGCCAGACTTTAAGCAATTCGAATATTTCTCGCCTATGTTGCCCATAAGAACTTCAAAGTGTTCCAAATGGACGTGAAAAGTGCATTTCTAAATGGATTTCTTGAAGAAGAAGTCTATGTGCAACAACCTCCAGGGTTTATAACTGATATTGATAGTGACAAAGTCTACCACTTAAAGAAAGCCTTATATGGCTTAAAACAAGCATCACGTGCTTGGTATGATACATTATCATATTTTATTATCAATTGTGGTTTCGCGAAAGAAGTGGTTGACAAAAATCTGTATCCTACTTGTGCAGATATATGTTGACGATATCATCTTCAGATGCACAAATCCAGAAATATGTGATAAGTTCTCAAAGCTCATGCAAGGAAAATTTGAAATGAGCATGATGGGAGAACTAAACTACTTTCTCGGGTTACAAGTCAAACAATGTCCTGATGGAATTTTCATCAATTAGGCAAAATACACGAAAGATTTAATTCGAATGTTTGCAATTGATTGAAAAACATCTGTCAAAATTCCAATGAACACATCTTTACGTAAGGAAATCGACAATGAGGGAAAAGATGTGGACCAAACAAAATATAGAGGGATTATTGGATCTCTCTTATACCATACAGCGAGTAGACCTGACATTTCTTTCGCTGTTGGGGTATATGCAAGGTTTCAAGCTAAACCAAAAGAAAGTCACTTAATTGCGCCTAAAAAGATCTTAAGATATCTTAAGGGAACCCAAAGTGTCGGTCTTTGGTACCAAAGAGAAGGTTCTTTTGATCTAGTTGGATACTCAGATGCAGACTTTGCTGGGTGTAGAATTGACCGAAAGAGTACCTCGAGAACCTGCCAGTTTTTAGGGGGAAGACTCGTGTCATGGTCATAGAATGTTGTCTATGACTAAAAAATAGGCAATCATTCGGGACAAAAGGTGTCCTAGGAATGATTTTCACAAAAGACAAGGAGCATTAAAAGACTTGTACCATCTTGTCAGAGATCAAGGACAAAAGTCATGATGCTTTTGGCTCCAACGGCTACACAGTACAAGTGCATTAAATGCTCCATGCCCACTGGTCAATACACACTGGTTAATAGGTTTGAAATATTCATCTCCCTCTAACGGTTGAATTTTTCCCTTCCAATAAATACCTGTCTTCTCCATTGAAGAAGAAACTGGTTATTCAATTCTTGCTATCCAAAGAAAATCTCTTCAAACAGTTGCATCTCTTAAAGCTTTTCATAACCAGTGTTTTTGTGAAGTTTTCAAAAGGCTCATTCATCTTCTATACTTCACAATTTGAAGAAGTCTTGCATATTTTCAAGTGAAGATTCATCCAGATATCAAGATAAGGCTTCAACCTGTTGGAGAAACACAACATTATCTTTCCAACATCTCAACTCTTAGGAAGAAGTTGATAGAGGCGGAGTAACCTCGAGGAGTTGAAAAACCTATCAAGTGGATGTCCGGCTTATTGATCAAGGAAGCCAGATTGAAGTAGTTTGTACTAGGAGTGATAGTGCAAACTCTTTCACGAGTTGTGAAAGAAGAGTGGATTAGGCTTAGTTAACAACCGAACCACCATAAAAATCTCTCTCTCCATGTCTCTTTAAATACTGCACTTTACCTTTCGTGCATTGCATGTCATTTTGACCAAAAATTAAAAGCTTCTAACAAAAGTGTGCAAAGTAAAACTAATAGACGAAACCTTATTCCGATGTGCATCACTCTGAAAGGTGTATCTTTGAAAAATTGATTAGAGTTTATTCACCCGCCCTCTAGACTCTCTTTCGACCCTACCGGGACCAACAAATGAGATCAAGGATGCGTCTACATCGACTTCGGCTGCTCAGATTGTAATTCGGCGATCTCCGTAATTTCCGGGATTTGGCTCGCTGGCTGCAATCTCTGGCGACCTAAAGATTCCAGTGTAGTTAGTGGCGTTGGTCTCGGAGTGGTGGCGACTCCTGTTTCCTTTAATTTGGTTCAATTTTGAAAGCCCGAAATTGATGGTCTTGTCCCGTCTTCCAGTGCTCCATTGATCGCGACTGCGACTGGTGGTCTCGCTTTGTTCGTCAATGGAGTTTTCAATGGAGTCTTCACCTTCTACGCGCTACTTGCCGGTCGTCAATGGAGTCTTCACCTGCAACTGGTGGTCTCGACTGCGACGTGCTACTTGCCGGTCGTCAATGGAGTCTTCACATGCTCCGTCGACGTCGTATTTGGGAAAATATTGGGGGTTTAGCTTAGGGAGATTTTTGTAATATCCAACTATTATGAAATAACAACACATTAAATTAATTTATAATGCCACATCATCTTAACCGGTTGCCAAGTCATCAGAATTGGAGAAAAACCTGTAAAGAAAGCTAATTCAACAATTTTAAGAAGTTAATGTACCTAATTACACTATATTTTAGATCGTACGGGGAATTGAACACTTTGCAGTAGTAGATGGGGCTATTTGACACTTCTCCCAAAATATAATTACCATTTTTGTCCAAATATAATGCATAAAGATTTAACAAATTAAAAAATAATAATAATATAATTCAAAATTTAATTTAAAAGTGTCACTTTTTGTTCATATTTAAATACAAAATTATTCACCAAAATTTCGATGGCAATTCTTTCTATAGTTTTATATTCAATTATAATTAAGATCAATCTATGAATTCAAAAAAAACAAAATTATCAAATATAAAATATAATAAATTATATCTAAAAAAATTGGACATCCAAAAATTAGGAGCCTTGTGAAGTCGCCAAGGCCAGACATGACCATGACCGGTCCTGGCTACCGCAAATCTTAAAAGTACTTTTTGATTAATGAACCAAGATAATGAAGAATAAATTGCGCAATCGAATTGAATGGAAGATAATTCCATGAATGATTATTTAGTTATTTTTATTGATGTGTTGATAAAGCAATATTTTCAAAATATGAAAATGCCTGGTGGACAATTGTAAACAATTGTAAAACTAAAACTAAAACATTCCCCCTTCCTATTAAATCTAAAAAAAACTAGGAATAGGGGTCAAATAGGCCATTGAACTGCACACAATAATCCAATTAGGCCACTAAACTTAAAAAAACAACAATTAGGCCACTAAACTAACAAAATTCATTCAATAAGTCTAATTTATAAGTTTTGTAGATTAGTAACAAGTCACCCAAAAATTATAAAATATTTTTTTAAAAAATTATTATTTAAAAATAATAAATTAAAATATTAAAAAAAAAAATTTCTTCGCTCTGCCAGACGAAGAAAGTTACTTCGTCTCCAACCAGAGACGAAGAACCTTCTTCGTCTCCGGCCAGAGACGAAGAACTTCGTCTCCATGGCCGGAGACGAAGAAACTCTTCGTCTCCATGGCCGGAGACGGAGAGTCTCTTCGTCTCCGACCATGGAGACGAAGAGTCTCTTCGTCTCTGGCCGGGGACGAAGAGTTTCTTCGTCTCCGGCCATGGAGACGAAGAAACTTTCTTCGTCTCCATGGCCGGAGACGAAGAAGCTCGTCTCCGGCGGAGATTGAACTTGTTTTTTTTTTTTTTTTTAAATTTTAAATTATTATTTTTAAATAATAATTAAAAATATATATTTTACAATTTGGGTGACCTGTTACTAACTTGCAAAACCTGTAAATTAGCGACCTGTAAATTAGCTTAATTGCATGAAAATGGTCAGTTTAGGGACCCAATTGTTGTTTTTTAAAGTTCAGTGGCCTAATTGCATTATTGTGTGCAGTTCGATGGCCTATTTGACTCTTATTCCAAAAAACTAAAACATGTATTTATAAGTATAACTTATTGCATCCATATTTTTAAATATCCAATTTAATATATTGACCCAACTGAATTTGAATTCTCGCTTTACCAAAGATCAAAGAGAAGACCGATCCACATTCGCCTATATAGGTAGATGAATTAGCAAGGCTTAACGCAGTAGCAGCGGCGCATAATCCCTTTGCAGTCGCCTTTGGGGAACCCCTCCGTCAGGCAAATCGATGCGCAGTTTTTCTCCTGAATACATGGCCCCTTGAACTTGTAGCTCGGCCTCGAGCACATTCTCGCCTCCGCCGCCACCATTATTGTGTTTGTTCCCAGCTCTGCAAACGCATATATCCATTCATATGCATATTTATAAAAACAACAAAAATGGGAGTTTTGGGTCAGGACAGCTCAGTTAAGAAGAAAGGAAGAAGAAGAAGAAGAAGATCGAAGGAGGAGGAGGCAAACCAGTGGCCATCAACATTATCATATAGAGAAGGGCATTTGCAAATGAACGGAGAGATGAAGCCATCTTGTTTCGCAAAGGATGAAGAAGATGGATCGGAGAAGTGTTTTTTTGGATATATAGTGTTAAAGACATGAATATGTGACTTAAACTTCATGAAGATCAGACCATTTCACCATGCAGCCCATTACCCACGCAATGCCAACTGCCGCAACATGCTCCATTAAATGCGTTTTTTTTCTTTCTCTTTTTGAGTGTATAAATAGCTTGTCCATTTTGCTTTGTAAAGCATTCATTCAATTCACTTGCTGCTTTCATTTCTTTTCACCACATAGCATATATATATATATAGAGTGTTAAGTTCAGGTGCGGCGGGACTTACAGAGCGGCGTCAGCACGATTATATACCATCAATGTTAGGAAATACATCATAAAAAAATACACAAATTAGGTACGCATCACTAAAAATACATCATTAGGTATGAGTAAAAGTACCATCATTGTTCGGAAAGACACCATTAGGGATGGTGAGTTATATGGTGTATTTTTTTTTGTGTGTGTATTGTATATTTTTTAGTTTTTTTTTTTTACATTTCATTGTAGTGTGTTTTTCTTACACTGTTGGTGTACTTCTGAAACCCGTCGCACCGCAACACCATAAGTCCCCGCCGCATTTGAGCGCTAATATATGGTCCAGATCAGGTGAGGACTTAACCTTAGGTGAGCACTAATCTAGACCATTAAATAAGAATGATGTACGATTGAGATTAAAAGGAACATATCACACGGATTAAGGAAATAAATCCCTTTAAAATATTAAAAATATAAATTTAGGGGTAAATCGGTCTTATTAGAAGATGTGCATTACTATACAAAATTTCATGCATTCTTATTCTGAGTGTTGTGCCTCGACAAATCTATAGTTGTGCATTCAAACACCACCCAAAACTCCTAGTGGACATCCCAATGTCCTAGGATTCATTGAACTAGCTATGTGCACTAATGCACATCTCACCCGCCTACGGTGCACAACTTACAATACTAGGTTGCACAACCAGCACACATGAATGCACAATCGTACTATCCAAAAATTTGTACATATACACGACCATCCAAATATAGGCAATATTATACTCAAAAGAATGAGCGGAAAAAAAATAAAAATACTGATCACTTTTCATGGGATTGATCACATTCAGGGACGGAGGCACCTTAGGGGGTAGGGGGGCCTTGACCCCCCCCCCCCCCCACCCCCGCCTCGACCCCCACCCTCACCTTAAATTTTTTAGTAAAAATGTATGTATATATTGATATACTAAGGATAAAATACACTTTTGACCCCCCTCTAATTTTTTTATAAGAAAAATGTATTATGTTTATATTAAATAAATTCAAAATATATATTAAAGTTCAAATTCATTAAATAAAAAGAAACAAATCAAATAATTAAAGTGACCATTTTTCTTTATTATCTTATTTCTTTTATCAAGATTTTAGTAATGAATGACATCAAGTATATATTTTAATTTAAAAAAAAAAAGCTCGAAATTTGAGATATATGCTTTGGTTTTATTAGTTATATATGTTGATTAATTAATTAATTAGTGATTTATTGTGTATTTTAATTATTTATTTACATTTTTAAAATGTACATTTACTAGTTTAAATGATTAGTTTTGAAATTGACAAAAATTAATATTTGATTATTTAATTCAACTCAATTTTTGTCTTTTATCTCTCAAATTTTGAAATATTCAGTTAACCAGTAAAATGAATATAAGTTAATTATGACAAAATTTGGTGACAAAATAATTTACAAAACTTTTTATTTGATGTTAAGTGAAAATTCTATATTTAAATAAATGTTGTGGTTATTGTTATTATTATATTTTGTGTTATGTGAAAAAAATTCTAAAGTAATGATCGACACCTGTGTCGATCGTACTCATATAATTATGTATTTCATATTTTATTACACATAGTATAATTAGAAATCATTATCAATAATAATCACAATACACTACTGGAAATTATAGAATTTCCGACCACTTGAAAGTGATCTTAAATCAAGTCGAAAGTCTTGTTCTGACCACTTTTTGGTATCTGTAAAAACTTTTGTTGCCATTTCCGACCACTTTTTGCTTTTGACTTGATTTAAGATTACTTTCAGGTGTTCGGAAATTCCATAATTTTCCAGTAGTGATAATGTATGGTATATATAATAATATGGTGCAATTAATTATAATGTCGACTAACATTGTAAATTTTCTTTACTACCGGCCCCCCCAACTCAAGTTTTCTGGCTCCGTCCCTGATCACATTGCATGGGTGAACTCTCAATCAATGATGAAGAAATTGCGACTTCAAATTGCAACGGTGATGATCCAAGAAATAGGAAACCAATTTGGCCAAGGATTCCACATGCGTTCACACTTTTAAAAATTAAAAAAAAAAAAAAAAAAAAAAAAAAAAAAACACACACTACTGCCCAACTGTAACAAAAAAATCAATCCATGTTATCTTAAGAAATCAAATCTGGGTCATCCAAATAAAAAAAACGAACGCACAAGATTAGTCCTCTCCTCCTCACCTAAGGATGAGTCCTCATTTGATCCTTAATATATATATATATATATATATATAAATATATATATATATATATATATATAGAGAGAGAGAGAGAGAGAGAGAGAGAGATAGAGAGAGAAAATAATGCTCATATGTGGTCATGTTGTTAGGTGTGGTCGTGTGATGAAATTTCAGAATACACCAACAGTGTTACAAACATGCACCAACAGTGTAAGGGAAACACACCACAATGAAATGCAAAAATACACAGTAGACCCAAAAAATACACCATATAACTCACCAACCCCAATGGTGTATTTCCGAACACTGTATGATGTTTTTTACTCACACCTAATTGTGAGTTGTTGGCGATGCGTACCTAATTTGTGTGCATTTTTTGTGGTGCATTTCCTGACGTTGATGGTGTATATCTTACTTAACTATTGGTGTATTCTGAAAATCGCCACATGACCACACGGGAAGGGGTCGTCACACCTGAGCGCGACTATATATATATATATATATATATATATATATATATATATATATACATATATATATATATATATATATATATATATATATATATATATATATATATATATATATATTTTGGTTCCTGTGAGGTCAGGTCTTCCCGTGCGGTCAGTGCGGCATACACCATTAGGTATGCATAAATACACCATACAGTGTTCGAAAATACACCAGAATAAAATGCCAAAAAATACACCACACAAAAAAAATACACCACACATAATGGTGTATTTACGAACACTGTGTGGTGCATTTATGCATACCTAATGGTGTATGCCGCACTGACCACACGGGAAGATATGACCTCACATGAACCTGACCCTATATATATATATATATATATATATATATATATATATATATATATATAGGAAGGTTCAAGCGGCGGTGCGGCGTCACCAATAGTTCAACAAATATACACAATCAACATTAGGAAAGTACACCATAAAAACACACACAAATTAGATACACATCACCAAAAACACACCATTAGGTGTGATTAAAAACACCCACGGTGTTCGGAAATACACCATTGGGGGTGGTGAGTTATGTGGTGTATTTTTTTTGGGTCTGTTGTGTATTTTTTGATATTATTTTGCATTTCATTGTGGTGTGTTACCCTTGCACTGTTAGTGCATGTTGTTAACACTGTTGGTATATTTTGAAATTCCGCCACACCGCTGCACCTAAAGCCCTCGCCGCATTTGAACTTTATATATATATATATATATATATATATATATATATATATATATATATATATATATATATATATATATATATATATATATGTACTTGCGTTCAAATAAGGACAAGTATATTATAGAGGAATGTGAGGACATATGTAGTGTGTGTCATTAGTCTGTATGTCGTGTGCATGGCCGAATTTAGTTGTGTGCCACAGTTTGTATGTCACGTGCATACGTTTGTTAATTAATAGAGCCTGGGTTCGAAACCTGATGTTTACATGTATTCATGTGTGCCATTATATATTAAATTGTGTGCATGATAGTAATTTGTTGTGTGCCCATTATTTGTCCTCACAGTCCTCTATATATTGTTGTCCTTATTTGAACTCAACCTTCTATATATATATATATATATATATATATATATATATATATATATATATATATATATATATATATATATTCTCTTTATCCCTATTTCTCTAGTCATTTTATATTTTTCCCCGTTGATATATAACTTCTATAATACTCAATTTTCGAGTAATTCTTAACGAGTGGTATAAGAGTGGTTTAATTGATAATTATTTTTAAAGATGTTGACAGTTACCAAGTTCGATATCGAGAATTTCGAATCGAAAATTATTAGCTTTTCTATCTGGAAGGTTCAGATGGAAGCCGTTATAACCCCGAACAGTTTGAACGAAGCACTAGCTAGGAAGAAGAAGAAACCGGCTGCAATGACAGATGAAGATTGAGATGATTTGGATGACAAGGCATGTTTAACCCTCCATTTGTGCTTGTCTAAAGAGGTTTTACGTGAGGTGGTAAGGGAGACGACGTCAGATTTTTTGTCCCAGCTGGATACGCTTTACATGGCCAAACTCTTGTGAACAAGTTGCGTCTAAAGGAGCGGATTTACACAGTCCGTATGACAGAAGGTACTTCTATTAAATCTCACTTGGATGAATTGAATTCTATTTGATTGGACTTGGAGAATATTGATGTCATAATTGAAGATGAGGATCATGTTATTTTATTGCTTGCCTCTCTCCTTAAATCATACAAGCATTTCAAAGAAATTATGGTGTATGGTAATAGTAGTATTACCCTTACTTTCGACAATGTTAAGTCAAACCTATTGTCGAAATAAAAGTTTGACATAGAAATTAAGTATGGGGACAAAGGTGAAAGCTTGACTGTTAGGGAGCGTTCACTTGAAACCGAGAGTAGCAGTAAAAAATCTAGATCCAAGTCCAAAGGACGTAAGTCCAATAA